TGATTTGATTACGCACGTACCAGTGCAACCTGGACTTAGATATGGGTTGCCTTCATAACCATCATCACAGCGGCACATGTAACCTCCCTTTCCTGTGCCTGAATCTACGCAATAGCTATTCGCTTGACATGCATATCCACTACTGTTTTGGGCTTCCTTGCAACTCAAGTTTCCAATTCCCTCTAATACAAATCAAACATTATTATTCAACATGCTAATTTTATTACTTCATTATGTGTCTCAATTAACGAATCCTGATTCAAGTTATTAGCAAATAGGATAAGGGCTAAATAGACCCACAAACTAATCATGAAAATGTAATTAACTCCCTCAACTACAAAATAATAATAATAATAATAATAATAATAATAATTATTATTATTATTATTATTAGGCACTTAATTTTTTTTTTTTTAAAAGTGTAACTAAATCTTTTATTTACCTATTTTTACATGTAAATAACAAGGTAGGGTTGATTTAGATGCCACGTCATGCTACGTTATACACTTATATTATATATATATAATAGTAAAATAAGTACTAGTATGTAGTTATTTATAAAAGTTTATATAATTTCGTGTATCTTTTTAATATTTTTTATATCAAAACTACTAAGTTTATTTTAAAAATTAACAATTTAGTTATTATATTTAAATATTTCCATTATTTATGTTTTAGTATCACTAATGAATTTTAGTTTTTATTATGTGTAAATAATTTAAATATTATTTTTTGAAAAACATAATAAGATGATAAGTGGTGGGTACCCGTAGTGGGCACCTGCCCCGGTGGGGTGGGTGAGTTTTGAAAAAGTCCACCCGATGCGGGTTAGAGGTGGTTATGGGTGGAGAAAATATAAGGTGGATCAGGTGATGGATGTAGCCCTGCCCGACCCACACCCGACCCATTGTCATCCCTATATATATTGAAGGGTTTAGGTGCGGGATGGGGTTTCCTGTGCGGTTGTGCGGTTGGACTTACATTAAGCATTAAACTCAGGCAAAGTACACAACACACGCATATTAAGCACACAAACAAAATACCTTCAGAACACAAATCCACGCATCTTAAGCACAAAACTCACGCATCTTAATCATAACCCTCACGCACTTTAAGCATAAAATTAAAACACACGCATTTTAAGTTTCAACAACTACTCACATTAAACACAAACTCACGCACGTTAAGCACAAAACTCAAGCATGTTAAACACAAAACTCACGCACCTTAAGCACAAAGCTCATGCACTTAAGTTTCAACACACAACTCACATTAAGCACAAACACACGCACCTTAAAGCACAATACTCAAGCACGTTATATACAAAACTGATTCAAGTTAAAACCGCACAACCGCATGGGAGACACAAACTAACCCACACCTGTTCTATATATATATATATATATATATATATATATGCAAATTACGCACCTATGCAACCCAGATATGGATTGCCTTGATAGCCGTAATCGCATCTGCAACGATAGCCTCCGAATCCGGTGTCTGAATCTACGCAATGGCTATTCTCTGTGCATGCATATCCACTACTACTTTGGGCTCGTTCGCAATTCAAGTTTCCAATTGCCCAGTCTAGTGCGACCGTAACACTATCATGAACCCTCTGATCAATATCAGCATTACTTAAATCCGCTGCACCAAGGAATCTGAACCCACTCGTTTCTCCAAGAAAAGTGTGGCCGCAGGTATTGAAGGACGACCCTGACCCAGCGTTTGTGATCATGGTTATGTTGTAGACCTTGTTCACGCCTTTTGGCAAGGGTAATTGGCAGCACCCAATGCCGGAACAAGTCCCATATTCCGGCATCATCTGAGAGGCATTTCCGGTGCATCGCGAGGTGCATCCGGTAGTGGCAGTGGTATTGGTTCCGTCGGTTATCAGCAGAGTTTCATCGCAGCCTAGGATGGTTATCTTGTTTTCAGGGGATGGGCTGTAATGATTGTACTTTATTAAACTCAGGGGCCAACTTAGGTTTGGGCTACGACGAATCAATGCTCCGTTGGAGTCGTTGCAACTGTGAATTACGCTGGGACTCGGAATCCATATCTGCGTATCTGATATGTCATAGACTGAGACTCGTGAGTACCATCCACTATTGAGGACTGCTTTGGGTGGATTAAAATTGGTGTCGCATAACACCTCGAATCCGGAATCAAGTGCACATCCACTTGCTATTCCAATTCCGAATGGGTAAGGAACCGTCAAGTTCCCGCATTTGGTGGGACAATCTGGATGACCAACTTGGCTAGAGTTGGTTGTCTGAGCAATAGCGGAGGCAGACAGGAACACGACCACCACAATTAATAAACAACACGAACAACATATGCGGCACGCAACAGGGGCACAGTGTTCCATATATACTTGTATATAGAAGCTAAGGTGTAATTAATACATACCAATTCGATCTGTATATGGATAAAAGTTATCTATATGGATGGGCGATGAAGACTCTTTGATGAAAATCAGAGTGTGGGTAACTAGTGATATATAGGCCCAGGTCTGCATCATCATGTTTGAAATTTGCTTTAGTTTATATGTACTCACATGAAATATAACTTCTATTATATATACCTGTATAAATTTTATTGTATAAATATAAATGATGGTCCCCTTGTGTTTTAAATTAATCAGTTTCGGGCTAGCTTAGTAAATTTTAAGCTAGCCCGTTCTGGCTATGGAGTTTATTAGTTTTGGATTTATTAGACTAATTCTTATGGAGCTAATTTGTCCGAATTATTGACCTAGTCAATTTTGATTTTATTGTGTCAGCTCATCAAATTCGGACTTCAAAGTCTAGAGCAATTACGTACCGGGGATGAAGGGTACTAATAAGTCCAACACGCACTCACTAGTCACTAGGTCCTACACATTAACTTTTTTGGCTTGTTCCTGCTTAGGTCCATTAATTCAAAGTCGTCTAACGTGGATGAAGGGTACGGGTACCAATAAGCTAGATTTTCCAACGTTAATTAATTAATTAGCATGACACTTTTCCCTACGGCTAGAATTGGCGACAAGAACGTTGAAAATTTTACGAATTGTTCTTGATTGAGGTTACTTTTTTATTTTTTTTAAAATGCTACGAGACAAATCAATGCAAACCGAAAAGGGGAAATGCACATTCAAAAGTCACTGATAGGTGACATTTTGAGTTGATTTTATGCTTTAATTGATTAGCTATCTAGGGATGTCAATTTGTTGTCAATTTGTCCCGTTCTTGATGTGGATCTCCGATCTTCATCTCGTTTATGAACGATACGGCATAATTCTAGAATCAGAGAACTTCTCATATCCAGAGATTGTATCCTTTCCTGTTTGATACATACTTGTGTTACCGATACTTTGAATTGAATATATATATAATTCAAATTTTTGTGTTTATATATTTTAATGTCCCCTTGAAACTTGCTTGTACAACCCTTTGAGAGCATATATATACTACTCGAAAGTATATAGTACAAGGAAATCTCAGCACTATAGTTAAAGATATAAGGCCGTTTCAATTCGTGCCAAGGAGTTTTGAGGGATGTGAGGCCGTTTCAACTCGTGCCAAGGAGCCTTGAAGGATATGAAGCAGTTTTGACTCATGACAAGGTGCCTTTAAAAGAATATGAGGTAGTTTTGACTCGTGCCAATGAATATATTTTAGCTTCCTCCATTTCAAATTTCATAAAGGGCCGGGTTTACCCCATCATTGGTTGAAATGTGTGTGCCTATGAAGAGGTGAGAGGCAGTCCACTTGTCCCTGTGCGTGTCAAAATTTGTAAACACGAAAAACTTGAATGGTATATATTAAATTCAAAGTATCGGTCACAATGAAGCATGTATCAAATAGGAAGGGGTACAATATCTGAATATGAGAAGTCCTTTGATTCTCTACTAGAAGTATACCGAATCGTTCTAATTCCTTGTTGAAGGGCCTCCAGAGTTAAGTAGCTTGTTCTTCAAAGAAGGGTTTATATGTAACTTGATCTTCAAAGGAGGGCTTTTGGTTCTCAAATATAATGGCGTGTTCCTCATTGCATGTGTATGTCGGACGTGTTCCGATCCAAATGATATCCTAGCGAGATTATTCCGACAGAGAGCTACTCTATTACCAAAACAAGAGGGATCCTGTGGCATGAGGGAATGAATTTTATTCAATTTTAATTAACAATACTTCTGAACAACTTCAATGGATATCAGGGGTGATCTAATTGTATAAGTGTCTTGTGTCGTTGTACTTAATATAAACTTGCTAATTAAATTGATCTTGATCTGGGCCTGTGCCTCGGGATTCAACCGCATTGCCATCTTGTGTCTCATGTGTATTTTTTTCACGTTATTATTTTCACTACATATATGATTTTGGACTAAGCTAGTTACAAGGATTTTATTCTCATATAATAATCCTGTGAGCCAGCTCTGAGTAATCAAATTCATATCACACTGCACGAGATCAGAGTATAGATTTTCAAGTTCAATCCGTCGGAGATGAAAATTTATAACTTTGTATTAACATTGGCAACGGGAGCCTCTCTAGAGGCACCACGAACACTATAAAAGACTTGAAATACTCTCAAAAGCATATCCCAAAACCAATATAGTCTATATATCCTTTCAAACTGATAATCTCTTCATAATGTTGAGTAATTTTCAAACTTGTATCACTAGTTGTTTTGTGTTACAAGTTGTTGAAGGCTTCCTTAACATTTTCACCTTCATCCATACACACATTATCACCCTGGTTAGTTTCATTCAATCCCTTTCTCTCCTATTAAATTATATTCTTTCCAAACCCAAGGTAGTTTAAGTTTTCCTGTTTCGCATAATTTTGGATTGTAACGAATAGAGAAAATTTAGTGATCTCTGTTGCTCACTAAAATACAAAATACAAGACCTACATAGAATTGGGAAAACAAACCATTAAATGCAGAATCATTAGAAAAAGGAAGCAAAAACTAACAGAAAAAAGCATATATTAAGACAAACATTTAATTAAGTTCAATAATATATGAAACTCCAAGCCGCCTACATATATGCTAGACTATTGGAATTTCTTCATGTGGGTAACATTATGTTCCTATTCTTTCATCCCTTCATGTGTGGCATTATACATGATTCCTTGTAATAAGATCTATGGGCTAATTGGAACTGCATAAAGATCTGATGGTTCATCCTCTTCATGTACATAACAAGAAGGCTCCTCCCAAGAATGCTTAGCGGACATTCTTATACTTTCAAGTTCACTGGCTACTTCTTTCATTTTAGGCCTATCTTCTCCTTTAAGTTGAAGGCATCTTTTCACAAGTATTGCCATTCTTTCAAATTGGTCCAGTGTCCCCTCAATTACTAGCCTAGGCACAAGAATCTGAAATAGTCTATTCTCATTCACGGATCGAACAAAATATGCGGATAAGTTTCTATCCTCCTCCGCACTCATATTTGGAGACACAGGTTTCCTTTCTGTCAAAAGTTCGGCCAAGACTACTCCAAAACTGTATACATCACTCTTTTCTGTCAACCAGCTTGTTTGGAAGTATTCTGGATCCAAATAACCAAGTGTTCCTTGGACTAGTGTTGCCAAATGCGTCCGATCCAAAGGGACTAACCTGGAAGCCCCGAAATCAGAGACCTTTGCAGTATAGTTTTCATCTATCAATATGTTGGACGATTTGACGTCCCTGTGGATTATAGGCATGGATGCAGCTGAGTGAAGATAAGCAAGTGCACCTGCAGCTTCAATTGCAATTCTCAAACGATTTTCCCATGACAACCAATCCGATGCACCTCCTTGGCGGTGGATATGGTGATACAGAGTTCCATTAGAGATGTATTCATATACTAGCAAAGGAACTTCAGCTTCCAAGCAACACCCCAAGAATTTGACAATATAACGATGATTGATCCGAGAAAGAATAACCACCTCATTGATGAACTGTTCAACTTGAGTGTCATCAACTGTTTTTGATCTCTTAATTGCAACTTCAAGCATGTTGGGTAAGATTCCTTTAAATACAGTGCCATTTCCACCTCGACCCAGAATCATGTCTTGAGCATAGTTATTGGTAGCTTCCCTAAGCTCTTTGGCAGAGTAAATTTTTGTCACGTCTGCACCGTCATTGTCCCCTTCACTTGAGGTGATCCTTTGTTTCAGTAAAAAACCACCATTTTGTTCAAAGAACTTGAGCCTCATTTTAGCACGATTTTTTTTCTTGATGACATAGCATAATGAAGTAGCTATAGCAACCATGGCTAAAACTCCCAATCCTATCCCTGTATTATATATATTGATGGTAGCTAGGTTATCAGTAAACTACGTCATACACTCATATATACCATTCCTTCAAACATAATTTTATATAGTTCATTACCTAGAAAGAATTTTAACCATGGAAAATCTGACTTTTTGTTCATAAGAAGGCATCTCTGACCATCGCCACTGTAGTACCCATCAAGACAACTACAGTTGAAGCTCCCTGGAATGTTAATGCATCCCAGTTCGCAAGTATTCTTCTCTGGATCTTTGCATTCATCCACATCTGGAACATATGATAAAAACGCAAAATTATTATATCCTTATTGTTATACTACTATATATAACTACATTTTTCTCCATCTTAGTTATCATGATCTAGCTTCTATGAGTTCTATCTTTTCTATTTGCTATTGTCATATATATATATATATATATATATATATATATATATATATATATAAAAGAAAGTAAATAAGGAGTATTAAATAGTATATATTGATTTGATTACGCACCAGTGCAACCTGGACTTAGATATGGGTTGCCTTCATAACCATCATCACAGCGGCACATGTAACCTCCCTTTCCTGTGTCTGAATCTATGCAATGACTATTCGCTTGGCATGCATATCCACTTTTGTTCTGCGCTTCCTTGCAACTCAAGTTTCCAATTCCCTCTAATACAAGTCAAACAATATTATTCAACATGCATGCAAATTTTATTACTTCATTCATCTCAATTTATGGGTCTTGATTAATGAAGTTTGATTTAAGTTATTAGCAAATAGGATAAGAGCTAAATAGGCCCTCGAACTAATCCTGAAAATACAATTAACTCCCTCAATTGCAAAAAAAATTAATTGGACAAAATTACAATGATCCGAGAAAATTTTATACAACAAAATAAATATTAAACAATATGTACTCCATCTGTTTTATTTTACTTAAATATTTATTAATTATTTTAAATTTATTTTTTAATAATACTTTTAATATAATTTTTAAAAATATAAAATTTATATATTAATAATAACTTCAGTCAACTTTACTTGCTAACGGAACTAAACATATGAGGAATATAAATGTATGAAATTACGCACCTATGCAACCCAGATATGGATTGCCTTGATAGCCGTAATCGCAGCTGCAACGATAGCCTCCGAATCCGGTGTCGGAATCTACGCAATGGCTATTCTCTTTGCATGCATATCCACTAGCGTTGTGGGCTCGTTTGCAACTCAAGTTTCCAATTGCCCAGTCTAGTGCAACCGTAACACTATCATGAACCCTCTGATCAATATCAGCGTTACTTAAATCCGTTGCACCAAGGAATCTGAACCCACCCGTTTCTCCAAGAAAGGCGTGGCCGCAGGTATTGAAGGACGACCCTGACCCAGCGTTTGTGATCATGGTTATGTTGTAGACCTTGTTCACGCCTTTTGGCAAGGGTAATTGGCAGCAGCCGAAGCCGGAACAAGTCCCATTTTCCGGCATAATCTGTGAGGCATTACCGGTGCATCGAGAGGTGCATTTTGTAGTGGCAGTGGCATTGGTTTCGTCGGTTATCACCAGAGTTTGATCGCAGCCTAGGATGGTTATCTTGTTTTCAGGGGAGCGGCTGTAATGGTTGTACTTTAATAAACCCAGGGACCAACTTAGGTTTGGGCTACGACGAATCAATGCTCCGTTGGAGTCATTGCAACGGTGAAATACGCGGGGACTGGGAACCCTTATCTGTGTATCTGATATGTCATGGATTGGGATAGGTGGGCCGCCCCATCCGCTATTCAGGACTGGCCTGGGTGGATTGGAATTATTGGTGTCGCACAATATCTCGAATCCGGGATCAAGGGCACATCCACTTCCTATTCCTATTCCGAATGGGTAAGGAACAGTCAAGTTTCCACAACGGGTGGGACAACCTGGACGACCAACTTGACTGGAATTGGTTGTCTGAGCAATAGCCGAGGCAGACAGGAAGACAACAACCACCATTAATAAACAACATATGCATGCAACATGGGCACATTGTTCCATACTTGAACATAGAATGAAGGTGTAATACTACTACATTACCAAATCTGTATATGGATATATAAAAGTTGGGTTGGCCATGAAATTATACGCTATATCCGGGGCAGGCGATGACTTTAGTCAAAGTCAATTCCCACACAGACTCATTAATTAGGTCCTAAGCTTGAACTTTCTCGGCTTGTTCCTGGTCATTGTGCCTTTGGTCCACTAATTCAAAGTCTAAATTAAAGCAATTAATTAACGCGGATTAAGTGTACTTGTACTAATATAAGTCCCACACGCACTCACTAGGTTCTACACATGGACTTTCTCGACTGGTTCCTGGTTGTGCCTTAGGACTTAGGAGTTAGGTCCATTAATTCAAAGTCTAAAGCAGTTAATTTAACGCGGATGAATGGTTAATTAGCATGACCTTTTCCACTTCGGCTAGATTTGGCGACGCCAATGTTGAAAATTTTACCTTAGGGTGTGTATGAAAATCAAGAAAAATACATAAATATGTTACTCCTAGATGTTATATTGACCGGGACGTAGGGGGGCTTTGAGATTGAACAAATTATATCATGGATCAGGGTCTATCTTGTATTGTAGGTCTTGGTTCAAAATTAATTTTTATTTTCTGTATCTATAATTGACATATTCTGTACGACTGTACCTGAAGTTGATAGTTGTTGTACATGTATCTATCATATTGCGTGTCAGTAATTATCAAGTTATTTGTTTACATGTACATAAACGGTTAACTATAGGTACATAATGTGTTAACTGAAGGTACAAAATTTTTGTATCATTGTTCACAATGCAATATGAGGAACATTATGCTGTGAGTACGTGCCCACCTTGCAAGGTGGACACGGTTCCATATCCATAATTTTTATACTGTAGATTCATAATTTCTATATTGTAGATCCATCATTTCTATACTGTAGATTCATAAAATTCATACTTCAGATTCATAATTTCTAAACCGTAGATTCATAATTTAAATACAATAGATTCATAATTTCTATACAGTAGATTCATAATATATGTACTGTAGATTCAGGATTTCTGTACCGTAAATTCATAATTTCTAAACTGTATAGTTATCAAATTATGAATATATAGTTCTCTGATTTGTGAAAATAGAGTTCAACAATTGGAATCAAAAGCATAAATTTTATGAATCTACAGTATATAAATTATGGATCTACAATATAGAAATTATGGATATGGAACTGTGCCCACCTTGCAAGGTGGACACGTGCTTACAGCATAAATTGCTGCAATATGAACCTTGGTCCATGGTATAACAATTGTTGGGATGGTGATTTAACCTTCTAGGAACAATGAAAATCAAGAAAATAACTTTTAGAAAATATTTTTTGAAAAATATTTTTAGAAAATGAGTCATTTAAAAAAAAAAAATTATTTTCAGTGTTTGGTTGCATTTTAAAAAATTTGTCTTGGTGTGTTTGGTTCATTTTCTAAAAAATGAGCAGAATTATATAATTAAACATTTTAATTATTTTGTTTAAAATACATAACAACATTTATAATAATAATAACTCGTATTTTATACGTGTGATGCACAAAAATATATGCTCAATATTAATACTCAATGTTAATATTTGTTTTTAAATAATAGTATATAATTTTATTTAATTTATAGTTGTAGAATTCATATTATATTAAAGTTATAGTTGATAATTTGATTAATAATTATGGTATGA